GATCTCACCTGAGAGGGTAGGTATCAGGCTGGACTTTGAATCTCTGGCCTTAATGGTGCTGGAGGGTGTGGGAAATATAAGGATTTCTCTCAAGTTGCCTCCCCCAAATATATGCCAGACTTAGCTGCTTGAGAATGACTGTACACTTAGAGGTCTTCAGGAGTGGATTGGGGGTCACTCTCCCTGAGAGTTATCAGCTGTCTAGATCAAGCAGACACCACTCTTTATCCCACAACAAGCAGGGCCCACTCCCTTCTGATAAGGGTAGTAGTTGTCTGTTTCCTTGTAGGAGACACCAGAGAGGTCAAATCCGCCCAAGGATGACCAAGCTTAGGCTGCCATCATGAATCTAGGGTCTGCCCATCTTGTCACATGTATACCCCTAGACCTTCCCATTCCTATAGGCACACCCCTAGCTCATCCCTTCCTGTTACGCTTATACCTATCATAGATCCCCTTCCTACAATGTGTGTGCCTATTGTACTGCCCCTTCCTGTGACACGTGATTCTGTAATCATGTCCTCCTAAAGTGATAGAATGCGTGGTTAGCAATAAAGAAGGAAGCTCGCTCCGGAGCCCGGGAGGCTCTCCCCGATTCCCGGGGCCCTCTCTGGCTCTCGGGGCAGGAGAGGCTCCCTGGTTCCCCGTACCTGAGGCTGCTCTTGCTCTTGTGGCCTGGTCCCCCCCACGAGGACCACCAAGCAGGGCGAGGACTGTAGCATCACACGGTGGGTCTCGAGTCCCCCTCCATCCTTCCCAGGGTCTGTATCCCTTTGTTCTTCAAGATCCAGGTCACAGCTTGGATCTTCTGTCCTGGAATTTGTCTTTCTGGTTGGGCCGGAAAGCAGCTATTGTATGAGCCAGGACCACCTGCCGGTGAACAGCATCGCTGCTGGTCTCTTGCTTGCTTTCTCCTTTAGTCCAACTCCTTCTGCTCTTTCTCGCAGGATTGCCCTGATGATTACCAGCCCATGTGCAGAGCTAACAAGGAGAGCAGCGCCAGCGCCTACGGCCTCCTCCATGTGAGTGTGAGGCCATTCCCAGCACGCAACAAAGCATGCTTCTCCCACGAGGGAGCGTAAGCCAGCCAGCAAGAGCCTCGCCTGAACCTGAGAGCATCAAAACAAAACAAAAATTGAACCTTGAAAGCTGTTCGCTAACTTTATTCCATAAGGAAAAAGACTTCTGTTTAAACACAGTTGCAGCACGTGTGTGAATGGCAAGGACGTCGGCCGTCTCTGCAGGATTAATGCAGCAACCAATTTTGACGGCTAGAAAAAGGAAGACCTTTTGTGGAGCCCCTTGCTCACGTGCAAAATATAATCTCGTTTCTCCTGTAGAAGCCACCTTGTGGTCGGGGAGAAGAGCTGTTAGCCTGTGGCCAATGCACACGTGTCTGAAGAGTCTCGCTTTTTATCTGGCAGGTTTGTTTGCACTGTGACTTAGTGGGGCGGACTCAGGTGTTGGCTGCAGTGTCTCTGGTCACTGTACTGCTGCTCTTCAGCATTGTCTTCCTGGGACTGGTACCATTGCTCCTGTCACACGTTGAAGCTCAGACACTGGCATTCACAAGGCCTGAAATTAGCTGTTGTAATTGACCCCCGGCTTTGAAATGCAATTTACAGTGTGCAGATAGCGCATGTGGGCCACCTAAAAACACATGAGAAAGATAGCACAGGCCCCAGTCCCGCACACGGGTGTCAGCCTAACCCTCCCTTGTGATCTTTTTATAAATATCAAACATTAGGCTAGAATTTAGCATGCAAGGTAAAACTTTGAGCCATCCAGGTTTTATTTTTTATTTATTTATTTTCAATCATTTTATTAGGGGCTCATACAACTCTTATCACAATCCATACATACATCAATTGTGTAAAGCGCATTTGTACATTCATTGCCCTCATCATT